GAGTGAAACTAAATGTACATGTAATGTTGAATGTAAAACAAACTCTTAAAATGAAAAAAAGAAAAAAGGGGACAAAAGGAAAGGATGGAGGAAAACAAAGAGGAGAGAAGAAGGAAAGAGAAGAAATGGGAAGGGAAGGAAAAAGAAAGAAAGAAAGAAAATTCAAATGGAAAACAACCAAGAACATTGATTCCTGAGTCCCTAGCTTTTATGGTGCCTAAGGCATTTGATTGCTAACCAGAAGGCTAGAGGTTCAAACCCACCATCCATTCCTCAGAGGAAAGGTTGCACAATCTATTTCCATAGTGAAACTGCCTCAGAAACCCAAGGAGGGCTCACTATGAGTTGGATCCAACTCAACATCATTGTTGTTTTTTTTTTTTTTTTTTTGATACAAATACAAACTTCAGAATTATTCATTGTTTGAGAAAATTGCTAAATTACTAAGCTTCACATTTACACAAGCTGATTTCATTTACATTGATTCCATTGATTTGCTTGGTGTCAGGGTGAGAACATATCCAGAAGAATTATTAGTTTCTTTCAGAAATTAGTACTCTATATGTCCAGGTGATTCAAAAGTTCTATAATTTTGGATTGATAAAAGGCACAGTTGTTGGAGAATATAAGAGCCTAAGAAAATCTGTATCTAATTCTTTTTTAACTACATACTTTCTGCAGAACCTATTACACTTAATCTTATTAATAATTAATGCTAGATTTCACTAGAATAAATCTCCTATTGGCAGCCTAAATTATTTATAAGAAAAAAATTTGTTATATAAAGTATTCACTATAGTCTCAGATATCAGAGATTTGATACTATAAAAACTGAAAAATAGCATTAGTAAGCTTTCAAGTTAAACAACTAAGCTAACATTTCTTTAGACAAAAATCATTTAAGATATTTTATAAGAAAAGGTTTTCTGAAAATAAAAATTAGAATGCCATAGTAACAAAAGTACCCTCTATAACATATCACAAGTACTGTTTCATAAGTCTCTCTAAATGACATTTGGTGAGATTCTTCCTGACCACCAGTTACTTTTTGGATATATACTAATGTGGTTGATCTAATAATTTTAAAATATTCACACATAGAAGCACATATCTAGCTTTGAGATATAACAAGCTTGTATTCTTTATACCGACACATTCAATATGATGTTCTATGTTGATTTTATGTGCCGTCGAGTCAGACCCAACTCACAGTGACCCCTCCTTGGGTTTTCAAGGCGGTATCACTAAGGAAATAGGTTGCCCAACCTTCCTTCTGAGGAGTGGCTGGTGGGTTTGCACCGCCAGCCGTCTGGTTAGCAGTCAAATGCCTTAGGCAGTCGCTACCAGAGCTCCCTTTGATATGATACATAGTTTTAAATTCTGTATTTCAAATACATATAAAATAATTATGCATCTTAACTGACATATCACATAACCCATGAACCAAGATTAAAAATCTATTGACTTATTTATAAAGCAAAATATTTTTACATATTCAATTCTGCTCTTTGTTATTGTCCATTTGCCAGATAACTTCTGCTATTTGGCAAATGCACAATGGCAAATGGTCAGGCTAAAATACTAAATCTAGATAGACTATACATATTCTGGTAAATTTCTGTGTTTTTCTAGCTTAATTTTACAAATGCAGAATTATTCTAATCAGATATATTTAAGGCATTAACTGTATTTAAATATATCACATACATTTATAATGAATGTTTTTGTCAGTTATTTCAAAAACTCTCCTCTTGAGTCTTGTCTTTGGTCTTGAATACCAGGGCTTCTTTCATCTAGAGCAAGTGTGGATCCTCATATATTAGTCTACAACCACAGAACACATGATAATTCACGGCTGATCAGTGGATTTAGAAATAGAAATAAATCTACACTTTT